GTTTGAAACGACAAGTTAAATAGGGTTCAAGGTTTTGAAACGATTTGGGGCTTGATTTTTAAGATTGTAAGGTTTGGACTTGAGTTTTGGATTTGAGGTTTGGAGTTGAGTTTTTGATGTGAGACTTGGATTTGAGGTTTGGACTTGACCCTAGATTAGGGGAAGGATAAGCTGGAAGGATTTTTATATGGAGGTGAAGCATTAACCTTAGAACAATTATACTAAATGAGGAGGTTTAAATGAGTGGATTAACCTAATTTTTGGGAATAATGTCCCTGGTCAATATGTTCATGACTTTACATCTTCTCGAATGCATCAGTATCCTTAGACAATTAAACAACCAAATAGTAGGAGATCTCCATTATTGTTATAGTTAATGTTGACCTTCCTGCTATTAGGTGGTTTGGGCTACCTTTATCAGTAACTATGGGTTACCTCATTCTACGGCACTCACATAATCTGATTGGGTAAAGTTGTTTGTTTTAGTTGTCATAGTCCTTAGTACTAGCTAAATATCTAGTAAACTATTATAGGCTTCTAGACTAGACTATTCTTGGGTGTGTGGATTCGATTTTATTTCTACGTTGGCAAACCTAAGGATTCAAGGTTGATCTACATTGATTAGGTTTGCATGATTTAGTGTTGGTGATTTTTAATTTATTGTTGGGTTTGATATTCAATTTGTGACTTGTTTCAGATCCTAGTCATGGTGAAAATTTAGGTTATTCTAAGTTTTGAGTTTTTTTTTCCTCCTAGTTTGTTTATCATTTATGAAAATTAGGGTTCTTCTAAGTTGAGTTTCTTTTCTCCTAATTTGTTGGTCATTTATGAAAATTAGGATTCTTCATTTTATTTCTTTCTCCTAAGGTTGACTACTAGTGTTTGGTTTACTATTCTATGTTTGAGTTTTATATGCTAGAAAATGTATCATTCAAACAGTTCATGCTTACACTTTTAATATTTAAGACTCTCATTCACATGCTTATTAAAAATTTAACCTACACACGCGAATAAAATTTTATAGTGTTGTGTCATACAAAAAGTGTTAGCAATGTGAATTTGCTTATCTATGAAATCTTTATGCATGAAATGACCCAATATTTATATGCTTAAGTGCTAAGCTTATCAATTACATGTTCATGGAAATGAATATGTTCATTTATGAAACTATGCCTATGAACATATTTAAGTCTTGCTTAGATTAAACTACTCAAGAAAGTTTGCAAACTTATGTACTTTTGTTGTATTGATTGATAAGTTTCGCAACAAGTGTTGTTGTTACTCTTTTGAAAAAGACTTTCCTGGTGCTAGATTTATTTAAAATATTTTTTTTAATTTTAAGTTTTTTTAACTTTGTTTCTTTAGTTTTTGTTTTGAGAGTTTTAGAATTGTTTCTTAAAAGTTAATTTTTTAGAAAAGTTAAAAAAGTTATTTTTAAAATTATTTATTTTTGTTTTTGGGAGAGTGAAAAATTTTAGAATTGTTTAAGTTTCTTTTAATTTTGATTAACATTAAAGATTTTGGTTAGTTCTATATAAAAGGTTTTGAAAGGATTTTGTTTTTAAAGAGGCTTCATTTTCAATTATCATTTCTTAAAATGTTATCTTTAACATAAGAACTTGCTTGGAAAAATTTTTAGAGAAATTAAGTTAATTTTTTAAGCTTTATTAAGTTTTGTTTGGTGCTATTTTTTATTTCTTATAAAATTTTCTTAGAAAAATAGTTGTTTAAGAAAAATTTTTTGTTAAACTTTGGAAATCATTTCTAAAGTCTTATAAAGTTTCACTTAAGCTTACCCAATCTTATGTTAAGGTAGTTTCTCTTAGAACTTTTTTTTAGCTTATATATTATTATAAAAAAACATTCTTTTATAGCCAAGTTAGTTTGTATATGAAGAACTATTTTGGAGCAGATTTGATACGCATATACTTTTTAAAAGTACGCATCACTTAGAAAATATTTAATGGGTATATTTTTATAAAAATCTTTTTTAAGAACATTAAAATTAGTATTATTTTTTTAGCACATTTAAATTGTATAGTTATATACATTTACATTTTATAAAGATAATCATTTTTTAACACATAGCAGCTTGCATGGTATAAACATTTAAACTTGCATGGGATAAGCATGTGAATATTTGCATGGGAATCATCATATAAGAACATAGATGCATGAATATCTCCCTCTCCTCCCTTATTTCATTACTTAAAGCTTTCGGGAAAGTGGCTAGGGGTAGGTTAGGCTTGTTTTAGGTGTGTTTAGGTTGATTAGAGGTCGATCAGGCTACTTTTAAACGTGTTTGGGTTTGAGTAGGTGTGTTGGGGTTCAGGTAGGCTTAAGTTAGGTGTGTTGGACTTGGGTAGGTTAAGTTTAGTTTAGGTTTGTTCGAGGAGACTAACATATGGTGTGTTTGGCTTTGGTAGACTAGGTTTGGGTGTGTTTGGGCTAAGGTAGGCTAAGTTTAGTCTAGGTTGGTATGAGTAGGCTAGGCTATGGATTTTTTTGGTGTATTAGGGTTAGGTGGTGCTCGGGTAGGCTAGGTTTGGTTATGGTGATGTTTAGTGTTTCGGGTTGATGTTTGGGTAATGGCTAAGGTTTCGGGTTTGACAAGATGGTGTGAGAAAAGATGGGTTTTTGGTGAGACTTTGGCCATGAGTGTCAGTGTGTGAGTTTGGTTTAATTTTGGTTAAGAGAATGGCGAGGAGAAGAGATAGTCAGGTGGTTTGGTTCTTGAGTTAGGCTGAAGAGGAGAGGGAAGTAGTTTAGGGATAAGGTTTTGATTTAGGGTTAGGTTGTGTGTATTTTGGTTTGGGTAGGTTTAGTGTTATAGTGGGTTTTGGGTTTGAAAGAGGTCTAAGGTTATGGTGAGTTTTAATTTAGAAAAGAAGTGAGGGTTAAGGTGAGTGAAGTGTGAGTGGTTTTGGGTAGGAGAAGAAGTGAGGGCTTAGGTGAAATAGAGGCCAAAGATTTTGGGTAGGAGAAGAAGTGAGAGCCAAGGTGGGAAAGAGAACTCGAATTTTGGGTGGGAGAGTGAGTGAGGGCTAGGATTAAAAAAAACCATCGATATTGGGCGGGAGAAGAAGTGAGGACGTGTGAGGAAAAGAGAGAAGAAAAAACAAAAAAAAATCTACATTAAAATTTACAAAAGTAACACATGTAAATGGCTATACTTGTGCTTTGATTTGCTTTGGATAATGGCTTTGGTTCCTTGTCTTGATTGTGCTTTCATCCTTGCTTGGTGTTCTCAACTTGGTAAGGAGTATAGAAAAGAGAGGAAATGAGGGGATTTATAAGTTGGTATGGAGGAATGAAAGGAAGCAAGGGGTAGGGGGGAGGAAAAGGAGGGGGAATTCGGGCAAGAGGGGGGAAAGGGAGTTGAGGGGCTAGGCTTTTGGAGAATGAGACTATGGGAGAGGAAGTGTGTGTGGCGTTTGTGGATGATGAGAAATTATTGCGTACGGACTCTGCATGCGGTGTCCGATCCTGATCGTAGATGGTCAAGATTATTTCCGTTTTTTTTTTTAAAAAAAATTATGTGGGGCCTACCGAAATACATCGGGACCGTAGATCAGGTGATTTACGGTCCGGATCGGATA